TAGCATGTATTGTGTGTGCCATGTGTTTGGTACTTACTGCCTTAATTTTAATTTTTTCTCATGTATTGAGTGCCTTGTTCACAAAGGATTTAGTGTTTATTCATCATTATGATGGAAGTGGTGCTTGCCTAGCCTGTGTTTCCTACTCTCTGACTTGGTAATTAGTTATAGTTCAGTTTCACGCTGCTCCTTTAAGGGTTTGAGGTGGTAGGGTCAACAACTTGAGGGTATCAGTTACAAAGAAGTGAGGACAGGTTTGAGGAATTATGAAGATCTTAAAATTGATAAAATGGAATTCTCTAGACTATAGTATCACATTCTGAGCTGGAAAGGGCTTTTGGGGTCTACCATTCCCCCCTCCCTGAATTTTACAAATGAAGAAACAGACTTTACTTTTCTATGGTCTCACAGGTAGTATGTGATACAGCCAGAATTTGAATCCAGGTCCTTTGACTCCAAGATTGACGTTCCTTCCATAGTACCAAACTACTACCTCTTTTCAAATGGAAGGAGAGGAGGGGGTAGAGGTCTGTATATCAAGTAGTATTCAAGTTCCTCTCCATTACTGGTGTTTGAAATTTAGCTATTTGAAAGCGCTACCGTATGTGATTAGAGTAGATAATTTGTACTGGACTGACAACCATCAGTAGCACCATTTACTATGTAAAAAAATGCTTAAAATAAAAATTAAATTAGAGATTTTCTTAATGTTGTCAGAAGATAAAATTTTTGTGAACAAGTCACAAAACAAATACTTAGACATGCACTTCAGATTTAACCATCTTTTAACCAATACTAGTTACCCTGTCTGAAACATGGCTAACAATTTTTGGAGTACATCTGGAAGTAGTTTATGAAAAGAATGAAGGAAAATTTATAATACTAGGGACCTTTAGTAAAACCATAGATTTTTTTTTTAATTTTAAAATGTTATTTCTCCCTGTTTTAATTATGTTTGAGTTGAAATATTGTTTAGGTAGAACAGGATAAACCTCCTGTAGTCAAATTTCTCATATTTGCATAATTATTTCTTAAAATATCTAGAATTAATATGAAGTACCATTACTGGGTTATTCCAGCATTTTTACTTGGCATTAAAGTTTTTCCAGCTACTACTTTTTCATTTTTCTGTTTTATAGTCCCTTTTCATTTTTGTCTTTTTCTAAGGATTTTAGTATGTGACAAAGTAAAGTTTAAGTTTAAAAAAAAGGAGAAAATGAAAATTTTCTCCTGTTTATTTATACTCAATGAGTCAACAAGTTTTTGTTGAGCAACATAGAGTAGATGTTTAAAGGAATATACATTTACACAAAAGAAAAGTTAAATTGAGTTGATTATTTTTATATGTAGAATTACACCTATTGAATTAAATACCACTTTTATTAGATTATATTAGCATAATACAACCTTAGAAGAACCTGTAATTGTTGTTTAAAAAATAGTTCTTTGGGGGAAAAAAGTGCTTTTAGTAAGGTTGAGAAAAACTTTTAATTTTCAAATTTCTCTCCACCTTTTGAAGCCAGTTTTTAAAAGATAATTTTATTTCCTATCCTTTTAAGCATTTTAATGAATATTTTTGCAAAAGTTTTTAATATTATTTTCATACTCTTGCATTTGTGGCTATTTTTACTAATTCACTAAAAAGAAATACATTAATGAGCTTAAGATTGATTTTTGAGTAATTCATTAAGAATTTTCTGTATTTAAATTTTGGGGTGATAATGGAAAAGGATTTTAAAGGATTTTAAGTTCACATATATTTAATCATATTTTATATATATATATATATATATATATATATATATATATATATATATATATATTCTGTATGGATACCTTCTCTTATACCAACTTGTCTAAAGATAATAAGACTAGTGAAAATTCTTTAGTTCTTTTCTGCCTATTGTATTAGTTGCTTGAATAATACACAGGATTATATATCATAACTAAGATAAAGTTGTTAAGTCTTTACATGTTAAGGCTGAGCAAAAAAGAATTAAATTATAAAAGGATTAGTCTTACTGAATTTTCTACCTTTGGTGTTCTAGTCCTCTTTCAGTATTCTTGGGTAAAAGGATGGGACACCAGACCTTCCAGAGTATTTTAAACTTTGAATTCTTTCTTATTGGTATTCGTTACTGATTTAGAAAGGGTCGTGTGAGTTTTAATTGTCTTTGGCACTGAATATCCAGCTAAATTTGATTTCCTTTCTTTTATTTAAATTCTTATTTAAATTATTTAAATATTCCTTTTTAAAAAATCCACTTGCCTTTGTTTGAGTAAAGCTTCAAAGAGGAAAAACAAATCTGTTGCTCAAGAATTTTAACACTTTTTTTTTTGTAGTTAGAACATTGTTTAGAATCATCTCTGAACCATGCCTTTGAGTCTACATTAAAAAGCATGATAAGAATTGAATCTATAGGTCAGGAAAGAAAACAGTCTCATTGAGGTATTGTTTATGTTCCTAGAAGTAGCTGAGATTTTAGTTGTCAAAACAGACAGCTTTCTGGGACACAGCCAAACTGTTTTTTCTGCCTCAGGAACTGGATAAAGTAAATGCTTGAATTGAAATCTGTTTTATAGAAACTACATGACTGTCTGATTGAAATGCATAGTCTCTGAGATTACATCAATGTGGAAGTGGTTGTTCTGGCTATAAACAGAGTTTTAGTGAAGAAAACTTACTGGAAAAATATTTGAGTGGAATTTATGAAACAGCACGACAGGAATTTCACGTCTTATGCCTTTCTTATACTAATCAGAGTTGGACAGTGCTCCAATCTATACCTGAACATGATCCCATGTACAACATGCCTGAAAAGTGACCATTCATCCTTTGCTTGAAGCACTTTGATGTGCAGAAACCCACTACTTCCCAAGGTGGCCATTTCTATTTCTGTATAGCTCCCGTTGCTAAGAAGTTTTCTCATTCATCCAGCTACTACCATCTGCTACTCTAATTTCTACCTATTTCTTGTTTTTCTGTCTTCTGGAGCCACACAGGACAAGTCTCAGATACTTGAAGGCCGTTATCATGTTCATCCTAAGTCTTCTCTTTTCTAGGCCAAACATCTCTATCTCCATTACCATCATCTGATCTTCCTATGGCATGATTTTAAGGTCCTTCACCATCCTTTTTATCTTTCTTTGGATGCTTTCCAGCTTACCAGTGTCATTCAAAAATATGTTTCCTTAAATTTGATGTTTATATAGCATCATTTCTTGAACTGAAAAATGTGAATTTTTTCAGTTATGGGTTGTCATGACTGGGGAGAGTATCACTGACAGAAATAGGGAAACCACAAAGAACAGAGTTTGGGGCAAAGAAGTTAGATTTGGAGCTTTTGAGGTCACCCTGTACATAGACAAAATGTACTTATATAACAGCACTAACAAATGATTAATTATTTGTTATTAATGATTAAGAATTTGTCATGTAGGATCCTAGTGATGAACCTCCTTGCACTTAGCAAGATTAGTTCTTGAAGAGATTTAGTTTTTCAACTAGACCTTACTTGAATCCTTTATAGTTTGGTAATGTAGTGTAGTAGATAGAGTTCCAGGCCTGGAATCAGGAAGACCTGAGTTCAGATTTGGCCTTGGACACTTACTGTCACCCTGGGTAAGTCACTTAACCTCGTTTGCCTTGGTTTCCTCATCTGTAGAAGGAAATGGCAAACCACTAGTATCTTTGCCAAGAAAACCCCAAATAGGGTCATGAAGAGTCAGACATGACTGAAAATGACTAACTAACAACAGCAAGAACCATTTCTTGTCACTGGCATAGCTTTAAAGAACCCAGGGTCACCTCCATGCCACAGTGAGGCAACAGAGTAGAACCTGTGTGGTGAAATTATTTAGTTCTACTCAAAAGTCAGATTAGATATAAGCAAAAAGTTGGGTCTGAGGCGAAGACTAAAAGATTCCCAAATGTAAATGAGAGTTAACGTTATCAGGTTGCTTCATTAGATAATAAATGGTTAAGGCTGGTAAAGTCTTTAGTATTTGCTGTTTAAAAATCTCAAAGGTTTAATTTCATCTTAATGAGTTTTCCTCAAAGACACACAGTGCAGTATATTCCTAATTTATCAGTCATGTAAGTGACATTATAGTAGATGAGGGCTGGAATGTTTAGAATTTCACTGTGGAAGTTCTCTTCTAATTAGATATTTTCATTTACCTCTTGCCATCATGGAAGATGTAGAAACAGTAGAAGACTGAGTTACAAGTTGAGCTAGCAGTTTCTCATACCCTTCATCTGCTTTACCCTCCACCCTCTACTTCTTATAGTCACTGTTCAGTAAGGTAGTAGTCAGCAAGTCTGTCTTTCTTTCTTTCTTTCTTTCTTTCTTTCTTTCTTCTTTCTTTCTTTCTTTCTTTCTTTCTTTCTCTCTCTCTCTCTCTCTCTCTCTCTCTCTCTCTCTCTCTCTCTCTCTCTCTCTTCTTTCTTTCTTTCTTCTTTCTTTCTTTCAGTGACTTACCCAGAGTCACACAGCTAGTTAGTGTCAAGTGTCTGAGGCTAGATTTGAACTCAGGTCCTTCTTACTCCAGGGCCAGTGCTCTATCCACTGCACAACTTAGCCTTTTCCTAAATTCACCTTTCTTCATCCTTAGAAAAAGAGGGGGTAGTTTTCTGATTTAGAAAATGCACCAATAAAAGAATTAGGGATCATTTCCATTTAGAAATAGGGATACCTTTATTTGAAATAGGTTTTATATGGAGTTAATGGGAATTAATAGAGAAACTTTTATGTCCTAAGTACTTGATTGAAAAATTTTCAGTTTTGCTCTTTAGACAATTTTAATCTAAACCATTCCAGACTTGAAGGAAAATTGGTGCCGTGTAACACAGTGGAAAAAATTATGTGATCTTATAACCGAATGATGTAGTAATCACGTTGAGGTCTTTGGATGTTAAAATTTCCTTAATGTGATTTCCAGATGTCTGTATCCTTCGTAGTTCTAATGTACAATTTACTTTTTTCCCATTTAACTTTAAGGTTTCTTCAGTTTGCTGGTTTGAACTATAGAAACTGATGGAGCTTGAATATAAAATACTGATTTGGTTTTGCTGAAGAAAGACACTACACTGCTCAGTAAGAAACTATGATAAATATTTAGATGACGTCTTAAGTGAGATAATAAGGAAACTAGCTTTTAAAAGAGGAACTCTAAAAACTGTTATAGTTGGGGAATCAGATATCTTAGGTTATTGAGTATTCTAAGTTATTAAGAGAGTTATATGAACTATACATAGGTTACTAATTTTCAAAGAACAAGAATATACTAAAAGGCACTTAGTAAAAGTCTGCTGATATAATTTAATATTTAATTAATTAAAATACATCTTGGGATCTTCGAGTACATTATGTTAGATAGAAATGAGGGCCACTAAACATATATAAAGATCTCTGTGGGTTGCATATTGACTTAGAAAACCACATATTAACATTATGTTCTGTTGTGCTTTTGTTTATTTTGTTAAATATTCTCCAATTACATTTTAATTTGGTTTTGGCTTATACTCAGGACTGTTGCAGGCCAAATATTTGCCCCTCTCTATTCTAGTATCTTGGAGTTATCATTATGAATTCCAGTTATAATCATGATGTGGAGAATTGGAAATGTTAATTATTAGAATTTGTTAAATGCCAAATGAAAGTTTACTATTTTTGTAAAGTACATTTGATTGCCTAATTTCCTCTTTACTTGGATAAACATTTGCTCCTACTGCTGATTGTTATGTTTAATGGTTTCAAAATACTGTATTTTGAAATTAAATTTTTTATTCTAATTTTTGTTACAGGCTAATCATTACCCATATAATGGATTTTATCTGACTTGCTAAATCACATTGCATTATCTCTCTGGACTTTGTGGTAACAGTACAGGAAATGTTCCTTTATTCTTACCGTATCTACAAACAATAATTACTAATGCATAAAGATAATTTTTTGAGCTGCAGCAGAATTAATGTTTGCATCCTTTATAAGAATCCTGGTTTTATTCATCTGAAAGATTTTAATGATGATGTTTCTCTAAAGTATGAACAAGAAAAGAACTTGTAGCATTGAGAAACTGTCTATTGATAAGAATGCCCAGAAGAGGTTTAATGCTTCAAGCCAGGACCCGTTGGCTTCTCTTGGGTCTTGCCCTGCTGTGTATTTTGATATTATTTATGTACCTTCTTGAGTGTGCTCCACAGACCGATGGCAATGCCTCTCTTCCTGGCATCATTGGAGAGAATTATGGTAAAGAGTATTACCAGGCTCTCCTCCAAGAACAAGAAGAACATTATCAAACTAGGGCATCTAGCCTGAAACGTCAGATTGCCCAACTCAAGCAAGAATTACAGGAGATGAGTGAGAAAATGAGATCATTGCAAGAAAAAAAGAACACTAGAGCAAATGGTATGAGTTTTCAAGGCACCAAAGAACAAATACCTAGTGATCTTTTGGAGTTTCTTCATTCTCAGATTGACAAAGCTGAGGTAGGCATAGGAGCTAAACTACCTAGTGAATATGGTGTCATCCCCTTTGAAAGTTTTACCTTAATGAAAGTCTTCCAATTGGAGATGGGTCTCACTCGACACCCAGAGGAAAAGCCTGTTAGAAAAGACAAGAGAGATGAGTTGGTGGAAGTTATTGAGGCTGGCCTGGAAGTTATTAATAATCCTGATGAAGAAGATGATCAAGAAGATGAAGATGGACCAGTTGGAGAAAAACAACTATTTAATGAAAACGATTTTGTAGAAGGTATTGTAAAATTTTATTTAGTTTGTAATCAGTTTGGTTTTTTATCTGTAATGTTCAAGTAATAATGTTTTATGTTGCTAATATAAAGCATTAAGATACTAATAGCAGTGACATAGTTCTTTTGCATCAACAATGATAAACTTAGATGTTTCAAGTCATAAAAGTATATTAAGTAAGTAGAAGCTGATTTTTTGTCAGTATGGGAAAAGATATGTTGCGAATTCAGGAACCTTACTGAAAAATGAATATTACTTTGCATGGTTTGAAAATATATGTGGACTCTAATATAAGGTAACAAGAATCAAGAATGTCAGCATCTAAGCTTAGTTCTGAATTACAGCATGGTCTTGGGAAAACTTTTAATCATTATCTGTTTTACAGTGTATACAATGGAAATGTTCATATATCCTTACATGGATTATTTAATATTTGCAAAAAATTTTCATATTTAATGACATAAATTATGTAACTTGCTTTTTTCCCCAATGGCCAAATACAGAATAACATTTTTAAGTATCAAGTAATCTTTACACTGTATTTTTTATAATAAAATTATTAGCTCTCAATTCAATATTTAAATTTTTTTTTAATGTTACAATGCAGTAATACAATACTTAAAGTTAGAGGCAGCAAGAGTGAAGCCAAAAAGAACACTGTACTGAGAATAAGACCTGGACTTGTTTCCCAACAGTGTCACTCCTTTTGTGGTCCTGGAATCCTTACCAAAGGCCAGAGAAGGCTATTAGTGCAATTCAAATAATTGAGTATGGTGCATAAAATTAAGTCAGATTTGTTCTGTTTGAGAAAGGAAGGGACAGACTCTCATCTGAAATAAAGTGATAGCTTGGATTCTGGCTTTGTTGAAACACTTTTTTCAGTGAGGTAGGGGGCAAATGACAAGGGGTTAGGCTTGCTGGTCCTTGGAGATTATCCCAGCTTCTAGACTGAAATCATCAAACTTTCAATACCCAAATAAGTGGTGTAACTAACTAAACAAAATTCTGTTTTTTTCTAGTGTTTCTGACCCCTCTCCCTTTGTTTTTATGGAAGGTCATTAAAAGCAGGAGCTGTATCTACCTTATTTTCCTTTGCATATTCCCTGCTGCCTATCTTAGCACATTACAGTACAAACCAAATGTAAATAATTGTATTTAAAGAGAAAAGATAATCTTTTTGAAAATTTTCAAAATATTCCCCTAAGAAAAATTATTAAAGAAAAATGGTTCAAAAAATGGCTTTACCTGTTTTTCTTCCCTTATTTGAGTTCAAATGGATAAGCCATTTCTGGTGACTGTTTGAGAAATTTAATAAAGGCCTACTGTTTGAATTCCATAGCTCATTCCAAGATTTCATCATGAAAGGAAATCTTGAAAATTTTACCTGGTTCTTCAGAATAATTTCAGGGAGAAACATTACTATTAAAAAAGTAGGGGCAGGGCAGCTAGGTGGCATAGTGGATAAATTTCCAGCCTTGGAGACAGGAGGATCTGAGTTCAAACTCAACCTCAGACACTTGACACTTACTAGGTGTGACCCTGGGCTAGTCACTTAACCCCATTACCTAGCCAAAAAAAAAAAATAGGGGCAGTGCTCTCAATTTTATATGGAGGACATGCTATGTGTCTTGGCAACAAAGTATCCAGCTTCTAAAACTTTTATTACCTAGTGACTGTGTTTTGATTTTTCTTAGGTATAGATTTCTTCAGGGTGAATGGATATGGCTTTTTGAGTGAATGCTTAATTAACTAGCTTTGAAGATTGTTTCCAGAAAATCTGCCAGCCCTCATTATTCTAATCAGTTTCAGCAACACTTAGCCATGTTCCAGGGATCCTATCCCTTCGGCTGATGAATAACAGTATAAAGTAACAGTACTCGGTTTCAGGCATGTTACATTTTTAATGAAAATTCTTAATATTATACTCTTCCCATTCCACCTCCTCAGCCTCTCACATTTTCACTTTTTCTAACAAGGCAGCTGTATAGTATTCATTATTGACCTTGAGTATTGACCGATTTGGAAGTTGTTTTAACTCTTATTGGTTTGATACTTTTTGGTGATGGAAACTGTTAGATGGGAAGTTTTTATGTGTGTGTGTGTGTGTGTGTGTGTGAGAGAGAGAGAGAGAGAGAGAGAGAGAGAGAGAGAGAGAGAAGGGTGCTTTTGGTATATTGGAAGCAATCTGTTACCCCTTAGATGGAGTAATTAGGAATCTTCCTTTTTTTCTCTAGAATACTATAATTATACAAAATTAATCCAGTGTTCAAAAAACCAATCTGACTATACAAGTAGACTTTGTCTTTTCTTCCTAATTAAAATTAAGACGTTTTCTTCCTCTCTCTGGCATACTTAGGAAATTGTAAACACGACTGCTGTACTATTATAATGTAGTATTATACATTTTCACAAACAGGTGCTGAGGAAATGGAAGGTTTTGTGGTATTAAAAAAAATCCAGATATTGTATACCAAGAATAACAAAAGGAGTGTGTATCTTTATCTTTCATTGCAGTTAGCATATACAAGCTTGAAGAAACATGGGTTTTTTGTTATCTTCATAAGTCATCCTCTAGTGTTAGAAAGATTTAAAAAGTGAACATTTGCTTTTCTGGTATGCAGTTAATTTCTTTTCAAGCACTAGTATGCTTAAATTGTAACTGTTTAGTTAGATTATATGGATTAGCTCACATAATTATTAGAGTAACTAGGTACCAGAAATTCAGTGCTGATGGTATTACTTCTTAAAAATACTATTTTTAAAAAATCAATAGCATTCTCCACAAAGAAAGGATCTTGGTGTTAATAGTTTACAGTTCTACAGCAAGAATGTATAAATTTGAATTTTGTGTATGTTCATGTATTTTAGGCCTTATACATGTATTTAATTTGATTTAGATTTATCTTTAGTGCAAATAATTTCAATCGATTTCAGGTATTTGTACTTCTTCCTATGAAAGAGACTATTTAAGAATTGTATTTCATATGTGTGGACTATAAATATTAATGAGGCAAAGATTGCTGTAGCAAGTGTTTTGAACTGTTTTTTTGAAACTCATTATATAGGTATGTATACATATATCAATGAAATGCATCATACAGCATTTAAAGGCAAGCTAACTCAAAATAGTTTTTGGTAATAAAAATGAATTATTATCGGTTTAAGGAAGCTCAGAATTTGAATTTGACTAATAATTATATGATGATACCAAGGACTTAAGCATGTAAAGCATCGTTATTCAGAGGACTAATTCACATTTACCTATTCCTGTCAACTATTAAAAACTCAATTTCTAATCTGCTTTTGGTGGTGATTAGAGAAGGGGAGAGCAGTTGGAGTTTTTGGGAGGAGAGATTTGCTGTGGCACCCAAAGGTCTCTGGTATTGATACTTAAATGGATCCATAATGCCCTCGGTGTGAACAACTACCACACTGGTACAAATTGAAACCCATCTCTGACTTCTCATACTGTGTCATTTTTATCCAGATCCTTTCATGGAGAATCTATTCAATATGCTAGAGGCTTTCTTCTTGGTCTTGTGATATTTCATGGCTACCAGTATAACACTTGAACTGTCCATCCACGTGGATGGACAATAAGTCACCTCTGTCTCTAGTAATATACATCTTCAGAGCTGGCTTTTGTACCATTTCTTGAACATAGCATTGTCATGAGTAATTTGCTGCAGCCTATTTTCACCCTGTCTCTCTTTGTATTGCTGCTTGGGTTACCTGTAATTCTGATTTTCCTGAGATTGTGTTGTTCCATTGTGTTGTCCCAGGTATCATTGAGAGATGTTGAAATTAAAAAGATGCATTTCAGTGTCAGGGAACAGCTTGATATACTGAAAGTGTAACTAACTCATTTGCCTCTTCCTATTCAAATGTGGACTGTCCATCTGCTGTGTCAGTTTAAGATATACATGCTAATGGACTAACTCAGTGACTTCCCCATCTAGTTGAATCTCTCTCCCATCCTATGCTTGCACATTTGATTTTATAAATAAATAGCCTTTTATGAATGAAAATGTATGGCTTTACATATGTCTCTAGCAAAGTTATCTTACTTAATTCAATGCATTATGCCAGCCAGATCTTCCTTTTGGATGTAATGTCATCTCACTTAGTAGCTATAACTTAATTTATACAAAATGGAACTCATGTACTACTCGTAAATCTACCCCGCTTTCATACTTTTTTTTAATACCATACCACTATTTTCTCATTTACCCTCAGGGTCAATCAAAACTCTTCCTTCTCTTTCACACTGATTTTGTCCTCTTCCCTCTGCCCTTCTCCAAAGGCCAATCAATTAGCAGAGTTCATAGATTCTACTTTCACAATATGTTTCATTTATATCCCCTTCTCTCCACTCACACAGAACTCTCCCTTTCCTACCCTCCTTCAGGCCCACATCACTTTTTTATTGGACTAGTATAATCATTTCCTATGTTTTTGCTGCTGCTTCTTCTTCTTCTTCTTCTTCTTCTTCTTCTTCTTCTTCTTCTTCTTCTTCTTCTTCTTCCTCTTCCTCTTCTTCTTCTTCTCTCTTCAAACTATCTTCCACACAGCTGTTAAAATAATTCTCCTTAGGCACAGATGTGACAATATCATGACCTTGATCAAAAAACAATCATTGCCTTACTAGCTGTGTGACCCTGGGCAAGTCACTTAACCCCAATTGCCTAAAACAAACAAACAAACAAAAAACAATCAGTGACTATAGGATAAGATACAAGCTCTTTAGACTGGCATTCTAATGGCTTTTTCTCAGTCCCTACCCTCCTAATCCTAACCCTAACTCTTTGACACTGTTGATCAACATTCTCCTTTTCTCTAGATTTTCATGGCATTGTTCTCTCCTGGTTCTTCTTGTGTGTGTCTGTTCACTCTTTCTCACTCTCCTTTATTGGATCTTGACTTAGGTTATGCCTTCTAACCATGGATATTCTCCAGGACTCTGTCCTAGTCCCTCTTCTCTTTTCCCACCACTGTTTTGCTTGT